ACTCGCCGCCCACCGGAGTTTCCCGGCCTGTGCAGAAAGCCCGAGGTAGCGACCCAGATCTTCCCTGCCGCTCCACCGGCTTCCCGGGGCTCTGCGGGCCCTTCCCCCGGCCCGGTTCCGGGCTGTGCAAACAAAGCTGCCCGGCCAGGGAAGCGCTTGCTCTGCGCCCGCGCGGAGAGCGCGACTACGCGGCTGTCCCTTCCAAATTCCATACGGAAACGGAGCCTTCCGTTTAGCAACAACAACGGCAACAAAAGACAGAAACCTAGAAGGAGGTTTAAAACGCAAACGCCACCACCTCTGAGCGCAGAGCCGTCCTGCTGCCCCGGTGCTGCCCCTGTGCTAAAAGGGGAGGCTGGGGCAGAAAGGCTCGCGCAGCTCCTGCCGCTCCTGCAGCTCCTGCTGCTCGCGTTTCCTTCCGTCGCTTGTGGTCGCGTCGCAGGGTCAGACACCCCCACGCAGGGAGTGATCCACGTACCGAGACACAGGCAGGGGGCAAATAACTCCCCCGACACGCAGCCACTTTAGAGAACGAAATCTGCTTCCTATCGATAAAAATCCCCATGTATAAATACATGCCGCACCACATCAGTTAATGTTAGTATTAAATATACTGTATTTGTGCATAGATATATATACATACACATGTATGGTCGTATTTTTCATAATCGGAAAAATTAAATATATGACCTATGTTGTATATTACATATAAATATCACAAAGATTCACCAAAATGTAAAGGAAAAAAATCACAGGCAATGAAAAAATGCCATATAAAAGAGAAGGCCATAGCGCCTTTATTATTGTTGTTGTTATTATTATTATCGTTCTTCTGCACTGAAAATCTTACAAATCGAAATAGGAGGGGGAAAAAAAAACTCCAGAAAGTTTGCAACCCCCTCTGTTCCTTTTCCCTTCTGTGTTTTTAAAGGATCTGCTGAAGTCCCTTTGCATCTGAGGTTTAAATAGGGAGATCAATAGAAAACAGTTGTAATGATCTAATTAATTATGGCAAAATTAAAAGCGAGTAGAAAATCAATCTCTGATGGTGTTGAAGATGGAATTAAATTGATAGTCCATCTGTTCACCTCCTAGACCGTATAAATATGCAACCCAAGGACGGAGCTAATGGGATCAAGCTGCCTGGGAGACTCTCTCTCCATCTCTCCCTTCTTTTTTACCTCTTTCCCCCCGAAGTTAAGTCCGGCTCGCGGGTCGCGCCCGCGCAGCGCTGCCTTGCGCGGCTCTACCCGCACACTGGGGCGCGCCAGGATGTGGTGCCGGGCAGCTCCAGCGGTCAACAACGATACAAATAAAACCCTCAAAACCTGCAGGTAATGAACGTTTAAAAAAAAAAGAAAGAAAAAAAGAAAGAAAGAAAAAAAAAAAAAAAAAAAAAAAGAAGAAGAAGAAAAAAAAAGGAAGCGCCGAGGAGGTTGCGCTCAGTGACAGGCATGTTCTCAACGTGCTATTTTTAAATCAAACCGACAGGCTTTATTATGATGATGATGACTGTGGAGTAGCTGGTGGACGCTCCCTCTTTACGGATTTTCTCTCCGTATCAGTGGGGTTTGGGACGAGCCACCCACGCCCGCAGCAGTGCTTCCCAAGGGCCTTGGCCCTTCCTGGCCCCCTCCGGCCCCGCGGCGCACGGAGCTGCGCCCTGCGGCCCGGCCGGGGACCTGGGGCTTCCCACGGGCGCTGCGGGGGACGCAGCCGCCAGCGCCGCTGACAAGGAGAGGGGAGCGGGTGTCACCACTCAGCTAGGGAATGACGGCCGGATCGCGGCGCTTCCCGGTTAGGAATAGCAGGAATAAGGGTATAATCTTTTGGTCCTGTTCCCCGCTCACTCGTGTGCGTGGAGAGCAGAGCAGCGCGGGGAGCAGCGGGGCCAGGCTGCGCTGCCAGCCTGGGAGGAGGGGGGGGAGGTTCCCAGCATCCCGGCCCCCTTTTAATTGTGAAAAATGAAGCCTGGCTCCCGCGGTTCCATTTGAAAATACCCCAGCAAAATGAAGATATTTATTGCCCGGGCTGGAGCTGCGTGGGGTGGGATCCAGAGAGCGGTGGAAGGCGGGGGTCGTTTAAACAAGCGAAGCCTAAATATAAATCAGCTTGGGGGGGGGAAATGTCCCGGGCCCTGTG